AAGGCTGCCAAGGTTGGGAAACACTGCATTAGACAGTGTCTACTTCAGAGCATGTTTGTTTATTTATTTATTGTATTTATATAGCCGCCCAACTCGCACAAAGCGACTCTGGGCAGCGTACATGTTCAACTCTTCTGTGTCACTTGCACGACATTCACTGGATTAAGTTTTACCAACACTTTTATTCTTGCACCCCAACAGAACGTTCGAAAGAAATTGTGTTCAGTGGCTCAGAATTCTGCCCGTCCATCTGTCAGCAGGAAAACTGTCTGAAAACAGAACTGGATGCGACCAAAACTGGTATGGGGAAAAGCCGGCAAAAGAAAGATCAGCTTAAAAAATGGGCTGGCTATCCAGCCAAAGGCTAAGAAGAAAATCAATAAAGACACCTCTTTAAAAAAAAATTCCCAGTATATCCCTTTGGGAAAGGCAGTAGGGCAGCAGCTTGAAGTATTAAGTATTGCTTCCAGCCTAAGTCTCTTCCCTCCCAGTCAGTGACCCAGAACGAAGATGTGATTAAGTGGTTGGAAAGAATTCAGAAGCTGTGCTTGGCGTACATTCCCTGCTTTATGTTTTAAAAAACTGTCCTATCTGTAGTGAGGCTACCGTTCCAGATGACTACTAAGCATCAGCAAAGAACTATAGAAGCCTTAATCCATAGCTGTTTTTTGGACTCACTCTGCTAGGAACTCATATATGTATACCCACATATTTATCTATTCTTGCAGATATTAAAGGATCTGATTAGTTTTGTGGTATGTTTTTGTGCTTATTTGCAATGTTTTCTTTATTATAAACTATAAAAAGTTATTAATTTTTTTAAAAACAGTTGCCCAGTAATGTCATGCTTACTGCCACAAGGGGTAGCTGTTTTGCTACTTTGATTCAGTCAAGCACTGAAGTTAATAAATTAAAAATAAAATAAAATAGAAGCAGAAAAACATAATGATGTTTTTATATTCAGTATTTAATTTGGTTTGGAAGAGTGTTTTTCACAAGTTAAACATTTAGTGTGATCGCTTTTCAAAAGTTAAACAATAGCATCAATTGAAAAAGTAATAACTAACAGGCACACATAACTCCAGTACTACGCATGGCTATGTGTAGCCCAAGCAGAGTTCAATGAATGTATATTTCACAAAGAAACTAGTTGACACACTGTTACCAACAAATTAATATTTACTATTAGTCTGGGAAACACTAGTACAGTCTCTTTACGGGCCCAGAGTGAATCAGAATTGAACAGCCTGCTGTATGCAAATAAAATTATGCTACAGAAATTAGTCTGAACATTTTCCCCCTCATTTTATGTTCATTTCCTATTGCAAACCCTGTGGCTATTTTATAGGATATATTTTTTATTCTGGCAATTGATTTCAATAAGTTTGATTATAATGAGCATGCTGTAAAAGTTTCTAAGACACATTGATTTCAGAAGCAGTTTCAATACAGTTTATGTCATAAAATGTGCATTATAAACGATTGCCACCAGCCTTGTACATCAAGAACAGCATGTCTTAAAAGGAAGGCTAGGGTGATGAAACTGCATCTATGACTAAGTCACACGCAGGGGCTTGCCACTATTAGCATGGCATTACTATCATGAATAAAATACAATTTGCATGCAAATGTATCTACACTCCATATTTTTCTGCACGAGGATTCCTAGAACAGGGCAAATTGTCATATGATGTTAGGGGGGATAAAAAACATTTCCTCACATTTCAAGAAAATCTTCATTTTGTTCACTTGTACACAGTATATATATCACTGGGATGCCAAGATCAGAGTTCTATAGAAAGTCTACCAATATTGTCCATGTGGCTGTTTTTCATTTAGAATGTGTACAGTGAAGTATAGAGATGAAAGTTTCTTTTCCACAGAACTATTTCCTGAAGCGAGAAGGTCAGAACATTCATGAATTTCAAAAGGGATCATTCAAACACTAAGGTATCATTAAATATTATTATTCTGAAATAGTTTTATGCTGTGGTCTTGTCAATTGCCTGACATTAATCTTTTCCAGGGAAGAAAGCAAAATCAGTTCAGAGTTCATAAAAACCGTTCATCTGGGTGTTGTCTATCACTGTTTTAAAGTAATTATGATTTTTCCCAAGGAATGAAGAGATTCAGGAAACTCTGAACTTAAAAACAATAGAACCATTTGGACTTCAGTACTGATATAAATACTTTCACCTCTGGCTATCTGATTAGAGCATATTTGGAAGGATCAAAAATGCCTTCTTGAGAGAAAAAAGCTCCATTAACTTATGGAGCTAGTAAAAATGTATGAAACTACATTTGTGTGTTTGAATAAATATACTGATCCTGTTGTAGCTTTGATGCAAATGGATAATTTTTCTTATGGACTGCTATTGAAAGGAATGACTTTTGTGCTTGTGAGAGATGGACAAAATATGTTATTATTGACAAAGAAATAGTAGCTTGAGCATGCTAAGAGTGCAGCTGT